GATTTGGTTGAAGCAAGCTCGGACTCCGTTGAAGCAAGTCTAATAGACATCTTGGTGTGGCTCAATTGACCTATTCTCAGAATTTTTCCTTGACATAGCCTACAAAAACAAAAACAAAAACAAAAACAAAAACAAAACACGATTGATTAAAATGCAGTAGAGCACAGGACTGTTTGGGTAAAGAAATTCACTTAACATACAGTAACCAGCAACCACAACAAAAATCCAATACTAAGCATAGAATTGTAGCATAATTGCATACAACCCACATAAATACTTAGGAGTTAGTTACTAAAAGCTTATCATCGGCATAGCAAAGATTGAGAATCTTATCCGGTAAGTAAGAGAAAAGACTCTTACTCGATAAATGTGTTGAAGATGCAACTCCCAACTCCCAAAGACAACCGTATAGTAAGCAACAAGAAAAAAGATTAAAACAAGGACATTAAAAACCAGATATCATCGAACATAACAAATATATATATATATATATATATAGAGAGAGAGAGAGAGAGAGAGTAGATAATAAGACAAGAGTATGAATGGACTCTTGCCAACAAGCTCACACATTATATATAATTATTGGAGAGTTAATGTACCTTCACGCATCTCTCGGGAATGGTGGGACATCCTACCTTGTGGATACATCTACATTTACGCAACRAATTATGATGATTTGTAYAAAGACAAAACATGCATAGATTAAACAAAATGACAAGTGTAAACATAATTTTTGGATATGTACCTTAATAACCAACTCAAAGTATCCAACATCGGCATCTAGAGTGGTTGGTGTGTATGGTTTAATAACCTCTTCACCTTGGCTATCCTTACCCCTAAAGGATGAAGAACAAAACAAACACATTGATTGGTAAAAGGAAACATGCCATTCWTCATTGTAAAAAACAKATCTTTACTACACCATCTGTTTCCWGATCAAACAAAGATACACTTTGATTTTTGAGATCAAGTATTGTCTTTCAAATTCAAAATTTATATGCATTTGTTACTGTTAAAACCAAGATTTCCCTTCGTACCAAATGYTATAAGGTTCATTATAATCATCAATTTTTCCTTGAGAATTTTCAAATTCATGTCAAGTTTAGTGAAAATTGACCTTTGATGTCAAAACTCAATGTGTATCAAAATTTCAAGCAAAGTATAGAGTAACTAAAAGAGTAATAAAGGTAGGTAATTTTTTATTGAGAGGGCAGTTTGATATACCGGCAACTAATATGTTGTCCAATAGGAAGTCCCAACACTGCCGTAGGTTTAGGAAGAGCAAATCTGAACTTTGCCACATTATGGCTAAGTTGTGTACGCTTCACAAGCTTGAATTCCTYAAAATTTTCAGGATATAAGCACCCTAATTAATGACAACCACCAGTTTATATTTCAATTTCGCAGATAACTAGATGGAACCCATGATAAAAAAGGAAACTTAAAAACGACCACGGATGCACCAAGGCCACTTGCCTTTATGAGGGTCATTAGATTTTTAATACCATCGATATTAAAGAAAAAAGGTCAATCATGGAAGAATAGTGATTCAAATTGAGATATTTTGATGAACCTTTAGGTTTCTTATTGAAAAGGTAGTAAGCAGCAACGGWAACAACAACAACAGCTATGCCAAGCTAGATATCAGGCACTTCCAATAGGAAAACCAGTAGCTTTTGATGCCAAAGCAGAGGACCTTGAAACTCTAGGATTCATTTCAATAACCATAACCTCACAATCCACAKGATTCACAACAAATTGTACATTAGAACCACCACATTCAGCTCCAATTTCTCTTATAATAGCTATAGAGTAATCACGAAGCCGTTGGTACTCYTTATYRGTCAAAGTTTGTGCAGGAGTAAATGTGATTGAATCCCCAGTATAAACACCATTGGATCAATGTTCTCAATAGAACATATAATAACCACATTGTCAGCCAAATCCCTCATAACCTCAAGCTCATATTCTTTCCAACCTAACAAAGATTTCTCCACTAAAACCTATGATGTCATGCTGGCTGCCAGCCCAGACTTGCAAATTGCCTCAAATTCCCTCACATTCTTGTTTATTATAAGCAATCCCGCCACCAGAACCCTTAAAGTAAAATCCCGTCTAATAATCAAAGGAAACTCACAAATTGTGTTAGCTATTAAAAAAATATAGTAATAAGTATAAACAAACTGCTACCACTACAACCAATAAAGCATATAGGATTGGGATTGGGATTGGGAAGGGGATGGTTCTGTAAGTGAATTTTTCAATTCCAATCGGATGCTACAGACACTTTAAACCTAAATATGCTCACCTTATGAAATGCATTCAACCTAACAACAAATACATGAAATGACTAACCGAATGGAGAATGAGACCATGAAGAAGCAGGTTATGCTTATGCGAGAAAAACAGAACCAGATTAGGGCGGAATACATACCTGATTTATGTATATAAACGAAACCAAATTGAGAAAAATCATGTTGGAGACACGACGACGGGACCTCGGCTGAGAAATCGATGGAGGCGATGGCGAAATAGGTAGAGAATTTGATGAAGGCGACGGCGAAATCGGTAGAGAAACGACGAAGGCGACGGGGAAAGAGAGAGAGATAGAGTCGAGAGATGGGATGGGAGCGATGGTTATAAAAAAATGTATTTTTCTAATAAAATTGATAAATAATTAAAACAAAGATTTTAGAGAAGGTTTTATTTAAAAAAAAGCGTCCCTAAACCCCCTCCTAATATTTTATTAGAAACTTTTCATTAAAAATACGTATCCAAAACTTTTAGAGACAATTTTGATGATGTATAATTTAGTTTGAAATTATTCTCTAAAACTCATCTTAGCTTTAGTTACATTTTCCACTTTTGTCATTTATTTTCTTCTCTATAATATATCTTTAGATACACTTTAAAAWTCTTCTCTAAAAATTTCTTCTCTAAAGCCCTTTTTCCTTGTAGTGTAATTACTAGTCATATATCCTATAAAACTAACTGATCCTTAAAACAAAATAAATTTGGTACAAAAGTTGAACTTACCGCCGCATCAGCCGCCCTCATATAAATGTATATTGGAGGATCCGTCGGTGGACTAGTGGCACCCGGAACAGGCTTCTTGTTGCTGCAATGTGTTATGTGAAAAAGCTCATTAGTAGTGGGCTCATGGTTCCATGGTTCTTTTTATAATAAATAACTTCAGTTGTTAGTAGACAACAAATTCATAAATTTTATACAATTAATATACTAGATGAAAAATATCATGTGTGTCCGATGTTGAACCATATTAATAGATCATCCAGTGTGCCTAGAGGACATTTTCCCCGTACCCGGTAGCACGATTGGTCTTATTGGCCACAGACTGATGCTTAAATGTATTGTTACTCCACATCTGTTAACATATAAATCAATGTAAAAACTATCACAACCCGTTACAAAAATAAAAATCATACATACCCTATCGATCTTATCAATCCAATGCACCTCCAGTCTGTGTGGTGTCTCTTAAGTGGCGTCAAGTCCCGGCCGTTGAACTATACATGATCGATGTCGAATGCCCATTTCTTAGACCATTTCCGGGAATCTCTCATCATGTGTGCATACCTATTATGCATGGTATGACAGAAGGCATTGAAAACGTCCAACTCTATTTCAGGATCCCAACTAAGTTGCCCCTGTATATTCATTGTTTGTATTAAGTAAAAAAATGAACCAAATAGTTTCTATCGACTAAAATACAAACCCGAAAACACTCGAAGATGCGACTAAAGTACTCTTGAGGGATGTCTCCAAAGTGAGCCCACAGACATTTGAACATGGATCCGAAGATCAAGGTGACTGCCAGGAACCGTACCCAACTCTTCAAACTTTCACAATTGAAAAATATACAACACAAAAGACATTATTATTAGTTTATTATGTACTAGCTCAAAACCTTATACCAAATCTAACTACTTACCCACCGCTAGACACGTGAATCACCGGCCGTTAACTCGGATGCCTAGGCGTCTCTTGCAAAGTATTGTGGCCTCGAGTCCTTGACTTTGATCCAGAGGTTGGGACCACATCCCATCATCCTACTGGTATTTATCCAATCTCTCTATGAAAGTGGCATCGACATAATCACCAGTCTTGTCGGCTTGAGGGTCACCACGCCCAGCAAAGCAGCTACTGCCTCGGCTAACTCCTTATCCCTACCCCTGTTAACTCGTCCCATCTAATTATCTAAATTAAGAAAATGGTTTGATGTTCCAAATTCAAACAATAAGTGTAAATGCATATGATTATGTGTCGCAAATACCGACGGATGGAGATTCGTTCAGAAATCAGTTGGTGATTTGTGTCGGATTACCAACGGTTTATTTAGTTTTTATTTGTTTCTTTTGGGAAAAGTCCAAAAAAACCCAATGGACTTTACTATTTGGAATGATYAAGTCMYTGGACAATTTTTTGGAACAAATAAAYCATTGGACATTCTAAAACTTGTTAAATAAGTCATTGGACATTATATAACCTGTTAAATAACTCHCTGGACTTTCTAAAATATGTTAAATACATTCTGTTAGTGGAAAAAGTCCGAAAAAAATCAATGGACTCTCATATTTTGAACGATCAAATCCTTAAACATTTTTTGAACGAAAAAATACTTACATTTATAAAAAAAACAAATATACCATTCTCATTACTCTTCACAAAACACATAAAAGTTGTATACAAAGCATAATAATCCGCATACAAAATTTGGGCATAATTTTACCAAAAGTTAAACCAAAATATATACAAAAAGTGGAACCAAAATATGTAACAAAAGTTACGCCAAAAATACTAACAATTGCGCTAAATATACCAAAAGTTGGGCCAAAAAATACCAACAGTTATGCCAAAATATACCAAAAATTGGGCTAAAATATACTAAAGTAATGCCTAATCTATGTTAAGGTCATGGTATGAACTAATCTTCATTTGCATCATTAATTTTTGGTGAAGAAATAACCATTTGACTTTCTTGCAACCCTTCTTGATGTCTAACAACATCATCACTTTCATAATGTTCTTCATCACCAACTGTTGTATCACCTTCATCACGGTCTTCATCATTAACAACAGCCTCTCTTGAAATTGAATATGGTATCGACTAGCATACCTCCCCTGAGTTCTTAATCTATCCCTTTCTTCTTGGCAACTGTTCAGTTCATAACTGTTGAGTAAAAAAATGGAGAAAGGAAAGTAGGTCATTAGCAGCAGTAAGCAATGTTAGGCATTCTCTGTCTACAAATTAGACAGTGAGCAAAAAATTATTGAAAACATAACAAATTTGGGGTCAAAAGAAGCTCTAACAGCCCCAATCTCTACAGAGACATCCCGAAACCACCTGCTCGTTGCACTCTTTCAACCCACAAGTCTGATAAGTCCCCTTTGTATTATGGGTGTTCCCATGCCTAAATGTCTGATGCTCTATTTATAGTTTAAATAACTTTTAACATCATTCACCGAGATGCATAAATATAATACACAAGCTCTTTAAAATGCAGCCAGTGCTCTCATTCAGTAAACAGCCTCTAGTTAAACAAGCAAATGTTGAAAGATAAAAGACATCTACAATATGGGATGCATATGTAACATCCACGTAAAAACTACATAGTGAACTTAGAAAATAAATTGGAAGTGATACACTCCAAGTAGGAAAGTCCAAACCTCTGACCTGATACTTGCATCAACTCCCTACAGATCAATTAGTAGGAGAATGGAGAAATAAATTATTCAAACCCTGTAAACTTTAAAACAAGTAAAATTATYAGATCACGTGAAACTGGGAACACACCCCACTACGAAAATGATGTTACAAATTCACAAATGAAAAGAAAATATAAAACACTTAGGGGGCATTTATTAAAACACTTATCCTAAAGAACCATGGAATCCAGATTACACAAATGAATTATGGTAAGTGTCTTTTACCCGGTAAGCACTTACGCTTAAAGTGTTTTTTCACGGTGGGGGCAATAAATGACAAAGAGAGTTTATAAAAGCATGTAGACATGAATGGGCAAACTTATGTAAATGTGGGGGATGGAGTTGACATGAGAAACGAATGCGCTTAAGGAAAGATTAGGATCGTGAAAAGACTCTACATTGGAATCAATCATATATTTCCATCATGTTACACTTGTAACATCTCAAAGGCAAAGGTAGTGTTAAATTGTATATATGAACATCTACTARATTAAATGGTACATATGGCATTTCCCTCAGCTAGTTTCATGCCAATTGTAACCCCCAAAACATAAAAACCATTTATTTGATATAAACATCAATTTATACTTTCCATTCTTTGGAAAAAAGTGAATAGCCAAACAAATGAATACATTTACTCTCTCCATCTCGAGTTGATCATTATACAGTCAATATACATTTAGGGGCCGTTTATTAAACGCTTACCCGGTAAGTACTTACTGAGCAATTTTCCTCACCGAATGAACATGGCAAGGGGCAAGAATCTTACTCGGTAAGAGCGATGATAAAGATGGAGAGTCTTACCCGGTAAGTGTGGGTAAAGACTCTTACCCGGGTAAGCGCTTACTAGGTAAATTGTTGCATAAATACGTTTTGATGTACTACATTTTTACCCGGTAAAATAAATTATAGTGTTGACTCCTAATGGTAAGTGCTTACCGGGTAAGCATTTAGGTAAACGGCCCCTTACTCTCTCCATCTTGAATTTTTACTAAGGGGTCATTTACTAAACCCTTGTCGGGTAAGTGCTTACCGACAAAAATTAATACCCTTATTTGTCCTATCGGTTAACATTATCGGTCATCAAAGTGAATTATGGTAAGTGTCTTTTACCTGGTAAGCACTTACGCTTAAAAACATGCATGTTCTTGAGATATATATGTATCTATAAGATTATATAGATTTAGGGCCTTTAATCATGAGGAGACAATGATATGCCTATGATGTTATTCCCATATGAAAAACAGAAATATAATTATAGTTTCCTTGGATTTTCTTGAGATATATGTATGTATCTATATGATTATATATCTCTTATGGTACATACACAATGGTAAGCGTTTACCGGGTAAGTGTTTAGGTGAACGGCCCCTAAGTTTCGAGTTTGATCCCTAAACTATGTCATGTTAAGAGGGGTCAASCTTWCCTTGTCCGGTCCAACAATCCCAATCGGTCAGTGGCGAGGCTCAACCGGTCCGGGATCGACTTTGGTCGAACCTCTGTATCCGGGTGGGTTTTCTTTCAAAGCATTGGTATAACCTACACTTTTCTTTCCCTTATCTCTCAGTTTGTGCCTACCCTTGAAAACAGTCATATTCTTTCTGCATGTGTTTGCTTTATGGAATGATTCTTGGTGAGTGAGGCCAAAATCCAACCCTGATTTTTCCCCATGAATTCTACATTGAATTCCCCCATCATATCCCCTAACCYCTTCACACCTTTCCTCAAGACCACCTCCTTCAATTTATGTTCATCTTCACAGATACAAAAACTTAAGAGGAATGGCACCAGACTCCATCCTAGAATCATAAAGTGATCTTATTATTACTCTAAACTACTATCCTCAATAGCTTCTTGCATATCTTAATGGCCAAGAAACCTTCTTCAT